GCATAAGCTTTCGTGGACTACAGCCCACTTCTTCGGATGCATATCCGAAGAAGTGGGCTGTAGTCCACGAAAGCTTATGCTCTAATAAATTTGTTAGTCTCTAAGGTGCCACAAGTACTCCTGTTCTTCTTTTTGCGGATACAGACTAACACGGCTGCTACTCTGAAACCTGGAAGAGGAGGGGGTTAAAAGAAACTTGAAAGCATTGCAGGAAGTCCCTGCTAATTGAATGGGCTTGGCTGCTGTGCTCTAATGCTTCCTTGCCATGTAGAACCCGGCAGACTAACGCACCCTTAGCCACTGTACCTTCAGAAGTCATGATGTCATGCTAATACAATCTCATGCTACGCAGTGCCAGCGGAGGAGCAGCTGGCACTGTAACGCTTTCCGGCTTGTGGTGGCGTGCCAGTTTGGATCTGCACGGTGAGTTTTCTAGTGACCTACCAGCTCTTCCAAGTAGCACACTAGTTAATCCAAGTGGAATGTCAGCGCTTCTAATATCATACCGGTTGTAGCAAGGTGTATTGTAGTGTCCTTGGGGTCATGCTGGCTTCCTCCAAGCAGCATTTTCCGGTGGTTCCAATGGCATGTCATTGTTCCCATCCTGCTACGACTGGTGCTGCAATATACATATTATTGTATTGTGCATTATTGTATCATTTAAAAAAATTAGATCAAGTAAAAGGATCACAGAACAACCCCTTAAAACAATGAAGATAGATAGCTACAGTACAAAAACTGAGGTGTGCAAATGTACTGCACAAAATGTGCGTGCATGGACACACTTGATCTGCACGCACAACTACGGTAGCTAAATATTCAAATTAAGCACATCATTGTGTGGGCATTTAAAAAATTTAAGCGTAAAGCATGAATTTAGATTAAAAAAGAGGCTGTCCAGAGGAATAGCTCCAGATAGGCTATTCCACAAAAGAGGGGAAGGGGGTAATGTGTAATAATTGGAAACTGCTAATGAAAGAGGAGAAACTTCATGACAGCCTGTTAGTTGAGTGCAAAGGCTTAAGAAAGAGAACCACTATGGCACAATTAAGTTCTTCTATTGCTTATGGCAAAGTCAGATCAAGTCCTATAACAATGCAGCGGGACCAGCATTCTAGATTTACCCTCATTTTATGTTTCAGGCTGGTATTAAATTTACTTTTACAGTTACAACCCTGCAAATTAGTCTGCGTGTGAGTACATGACATCAATAGTACTACTCTGTACTTAAAGATAAGTACATGCATATAAGTGTTTGCAGGATACAGGACTTAGCGCACCTGGATCCTGCAAACATCATCAGTTAAATATGTTTAAATTAAAGAGACACTACCATGTAGTTTAGCCATAACATTTATTTTATTAAAAATATAAAATCTCCTGTTAGTATTTTTTGCTTGCATTTAAATACCCCCCAACCCCGGTGCTGGAGAGGCAAATACAACAGCATTTTTCTAAACCAATGCAGGAGAACCAGGAAATGAAATGACTCAAATAAGGTAACCACTCTGTTTTCAGTGTCTAAACTGTGTGTAATGGCAAAAAGAAACGAACCAACGGGACGACTGGTGACAAGAAAATTAGATTTTGCTTTTTTCCCCTCAGTGTTGTTAACCTAAGGCAATTAAACTTTTTAATCTGATTTTTAGTTACTAACTTTTTATTTGAACTTTTCAACTTTTTATTGACGATTTAAAAATTGCGCTAATCCACGGTGTTGTTTAACAAGTATCAAAAGAGGATGACAATACAAGAGGGCAGAGCTGAGCCCAGCAGGGCAGGAGTTCCAGGAAGCAGACACATGGGGTCGGTAAAAGTTATATCAATCATTTCAAAAAAAAAAAATTCACCCCATTGGGCCCATCCTCCTTCAAGTAGTTCAGCTGCTGACCTAATAGGGGCAGGTGATTTTGAACATGGCGTTTACATGGATTTGTCAGAAAATAGCTGTAAAAGTAAACATGATACTGTACTAACTTTCACAGTGGTAGCCGTGTCAGTCTGTATCAGCAAAACCAAGGAGGCGACCTTGTGGCACCTTAGAGACTAACACCTTTATTTGGGCCTAAGCTTTCCTGGGCTAGAACCCACTTCATCAGATGCATGAAGGGAAAAATACAGGAGCAGGTATATACTTTTCTCTTCATGCCTCTGATGAAGTGGGTTCGAGCCCACGAAAGCTTAGGCCCAAATAAAGGTGTTAGTCTCTAAGGTGCCACAAGGACTCCTCAGTTGTGTTTGTTCATCGAGAGGGAGCACTGTTCTGTAGATATCTGTCCCGGGGGTGGACATTTTAACGTGGACATGGAGTGGCAAAAGAGTGCAAAGAGAGACGCCTCTGGCAAGAGCGCGGGGGACCCGCTCTGGCGTAGGAAGGGGTTAACCCAGGGCTGCCAAGACAGTCGCATGAATAATCCCGCGGCCACTCCCCCCACCTCGTCCCGGGGGGCGGCTGCCGCCGAAGGGGTTTGCAAAGCCGCGGCGGGCGCGTTGGCGGGGCACAGGAGCCGGCCCCGGGGAGGGGCGGGGAGGGCAGAGATTGATGGCTCATCACTTGATTAGGCAGCCCTGCCTCTGCCCAGCTTGGCTCCGCGGCTGCACACACCCAGCCTCGGCGGCGGCGGCGGCTCCCCCGCGTGCAGCCCGCTCCCCCGCCAGCTCTCCCCGCCGCGATGCGCCCCGCCGGGCAGCAGCGCTAGGCTCGTCCCCGCCAACTTCCTCTCCCCCCTTCTCCGTCCCTCGCCTCGCAGCCCCGGTGAAAATGGCGAGGAGGGAGATGGATGCGGGCAGGCTCCGGGGGACCCTGGTGTCTCTGCTGCTGCTGCTGGCGGCGGCGCTGCCCGCCGGCGCGGCTCGCCCGCGGGTCCCCCTGCCCGGGGACGTGAACGGCTACAGCCTGCACCCGCCCTACTTCAACCTGGCCGAGAGCACCCGGATCTCCGCCACCGCCACCTGCGGGGAAGAGCGCGGCGGCAGCCGGAGCCCCCGCGCCGTGGAGGATCTGTACTGCAAGCTGGTCGGCGGGCCGGTGGCAGGAGGGGACCCCAACCAGACCATCCAGGTACGGGCCCCCCGCGCCACTTGTCCCCGGGGGCACCTGCCCCGAGCCCCCTGGCCATGGCTCTCCTCCCCCGTCGCCCCAGGTAGCCCGGCGCCTGCCGCCTCTCCCTTGAATGGAGGCGCTCGCCGGCCGATGAATGGGGCCAGGCGCGCACAAAGCGATGTGGGAAATGCCTCTTCGGGTCCGTGTTTGCTTTGCCCCAGGCGCCCTCTCCTCCCGTTTGCTCTTCTCGCCACCCAGCGAAGGGGGGACCTGTGAGTTGAGTTCACTTGCATCTGAAGAAGTGAGGTTCTTACCCACGAAAGCTTATGCTCCCAGTACTTCTGTTAGTCTCAAAGGTGCTACAGGACCCTCTGTTGCTTTTTACAGATTCAGACTAACACGGCTACCCCTCTGATACTGTGAGTTGAGGAAACTTTTTGTTGTGGTTGTGGTTGTTTTTGGAGCCGCTGCATTGAATGGCCAGGGGTCCCCTCCCCACGGGATGGTTTGAAGCAGCCCCTCGGCAATTTCCGTCCCATGCTTTAGCAAAGCGGAGCTGCATTAAATTCCCTAGGAATACGCCTGGCTCTGGTTGTGTGGTGCATTTCCTCTTCAGGAGGGCTTTGCCCCCCCCCCCTCCAGTGTAAATCAAGATCTTGTTTTTCTTCCATCAGTCTGTGTTTGCAAAGGTAGATTTCAGCTCCACTGGCTATGTGGAATTAGCCCAGCGGTTCCTTTTAGAAAAGAAGGGTGCGAGAGAGGGAAATCCTGCAACAAATTATCTGGCCCATTTTAGGTCATTAGGAGAGCAATTCGGTGTTTCAGAAAACAGCAGGGCGACAATCTTTTCATTAGTATTTTTTCCCAGGTGTGTGCCCTTGTGTTTGTGCCCTGCAAATAGCAGTTGCACTTTTGCAGAGTGTTCATTTTCTTTAGCTCCGCGAAAGGGCTGATTGTGGAAGATCATTTTGAAGGGATGGTGAGGGGTGATTTCCTCCCCCCTCACTTTTCTAAAAAGCTTGTCACTTGGTTAGTTGTTTGGAGGCGTCTTCTCTGAATTCTCCAAACGTGGTTTCTCTTTCAAAGGCTGAAGGGGAAAGGGAACACGTGTTCCTTTTCAGGGTTGCTAGAAATGCTCCAAGGTTGCCAGAAATTGTACAAACTAAACACAGCCTGTTAGGTTCCCATGGCATTATTTTTAAAGGCGTCAGTTTCTGTGTTGATGAAATCCAGGGCAAGTGGAGACTGCTGAATGGGTCTGAAAGCAAAGATCAGACATTGGTGATCATGCTAATATTTAATAATATGAGTGTGTAACTTGTGTTGAGATTTTTTTTTTAAGGGGTGTTGGTAATATTCACCTGACATCCGCTTGTAAACACCGTTTATCTATATCCCATGTGTCCCAGTTTAACCCAACAATAGGGACCTGTAGCCAGGAATCCCCTTGGAATGCAGACTGCAAAAATGCAGTAATACTCGGTCATCTGTGTGTAGCAGCCTGTTTAACAGCCATGGACATCTTGGAAGGCAGGGAGACCAATTGCGAGAAGATTTGTAAAATGGGAGCTTTAGTTCCATGAATCCCAGATCCGCCGTAATCCCATGAGAACAGCCAAAGTAGTGGGAAGCAAATAGAAGAATTTGAAACCCTCTTGTGGAATGAGGAAAAAAGCAATGACAAATCTAAGCAACACAATGTGCTGTTTGCCAGTAGCTTCTCCTGGGTTCTTTAAGAAAGATGGTGCTAGTTCACCGGGAGCAATAGGACCCTACTCAGCCTGTTAATAAGCAGCGGGAGCGTTTGGAAAACAGCTAGTGTGAAGTTGCTGCCCTCAAACAGGTCAGATAGGAGAATGTGGCCCGAATGGAATATCTGCTTCTAAAAAACCCTAAGTCTCCAATGCTTTAGCTACTTGGAATTTTCTTGCTACTAAAGGGCAAAGTCCTGTCAGTGGCCCATGCTTAAGGATGTTACTGTGGGAAAGCCAACACCCCATCCTCCTTCAATTTGATTGCTTTACCGTTGTTAGCAGACTTGTGCGTCAGACCCGTATAATGCAACAGGTATTTATCTAAAATAAAACACAACTGGGCAAATATTGCCTTATTCTGTAGTTGATGGATGTGGGAAAGGATTCTGTGAATCCTGAACATAGCAGTTGTTGGAACTGCAGTGCTGCGCTTTTATTGTCAATGTAATGCTTAGAGAGGAAGACGACTGAGAAATGCCTGCTGTTCTGTGTGCAGTTGCCAACATCTAAATACCTGGTAAGTAAATCCAGTAAAATGAGACTTCTAAAAACATGGAGGTTTATTGCACATTAAGGGCTATGCATTTGACATGAAGTCAGTGGCCATTTGGGATGCTTCTGTGTGACTAGCCTGATTTATAACAGCCTGCATTAAATAGTGGCTAAAATAAAGCATTTGGAGTCTAATGACTTGTGTGGTGCTCTCTAGCAAGTGTGACTCATGCCCTTGCAAATACAGCCTGGCCCTAGCACTGTAGTTTTCTTAAATCTTACCAGTTATTTCCAGTTAAACAAACGTGGTTCCTTAGACTTTGAGATACTATAGTGACCCCCCTCCCTGTCCTTCTGTGCAGCCCTGATATGGGAGTGCTTTGATCTGAGCTCTGCTTCCTAGGCTGATATTCTTCGGTCAATCTGAAAGCTTTACAATCCTTTTGTAGTGGCTCCTTTCCATGACTACAGGCAGCACCTGAAAGGAAGGGAAAAAAGAGGTATTAGTGCAAAGGTCAGAGTTCCCAATTCATCCCTGTTAGGGATTTCAGCACCACCCAGTGACTAAAGCAATGGGGGGGGGAGGGAGAGGAGGGGAAGTGTTCAATTTAAGCAGTTTGAAGCAACAGGAATGAACTCCAAATGTAAGTCACTAATACGCTCCATGTTTCACCAGATACTCGCCTAACCCCTTCACCTGCTCTCTTGTATATTGTTCCACACAAAGTGCAGCCACGGTGAGGAAGGCTTTTGGGTGGGAGCGCTGCAAGATTCAGTTTTGATGGGTACTCAAGAAGTTTCAATGGGGCATGGTAGTTAAGAGGACAGACATTCGCTGGATTGGCTGCCTAATAAATATTGTAGCTTGTCAATTTAATAGGTTCAATCAATTTTCCCACCACGAACAGTTTTAATTAATTAACACTGTAATAGAATTTTTTGGAGAGGGAAATCAACTATTTTTGCCTCAAGGAATTCCTAAAAAACACTGTTTTGTTTAATAATACTGGCTTTGAAAATCGCAGAGTTTGTGGCATAGTTTCAAACACCAGGCTCCAGATCTGTTTGGAATATGATGAAGTCAGGGCGTGGCTACACTTGCAGATGTGCTTTGAGTTAAACCAGCCTTTCGGAGAGCGCAGTAAGGAAAGCGCTGCAGTCTGTCCACACTGACAGCTGCAAGCGCACTGGCGTGGCCACATTTGTGGCACTTGCAGCGGCATTGGGAGCTGTGCATTATGGGCAGCTATCCCACAGAGCAGATTTGGCCCCTTTGTCTTGTTATCTGCTATGTCTGTAAAGTGCCTATCGTGGTTTGTGTGCTATACAAATAATTGGGAGATAGCTAATGTCAAAGACTCGTTTGGTGTCTTTTCCATGCTTCCTTGTATTAAGACACCAACATTTTAATGACTTAATTGGAATTGAAAACAAATCCTGTGAATTTTTTTTTGGGCAACAGGTTATAGCTGCCTGCAAAACCAGACACCTGTTGCAACAACAGCCAAGCATGTGCCAATTTGGTGTGTGCCGTTACTGGATTTGCATGCACAGTTGAGGTAATTGTGCACCTGACTCATTTGAAAATGCCACCCAGGGCTTCCCCAGCCCCCCAGTTTATTTTCTCTAAAGCCTTGGGGTCTTGTCCCTCAGGGTTTCTGATAAATTAGGTGAGGATCAGTGAGAATGGGTCAAGGCAAGGCCAGATAAGCCAGTACAAAGCCAGCTGCCTTAAGGTTGCCAAGCTCAGCAGGGCTTCAGGGCTCTTGTCTGTGCTCTGAGGAGAATTGAGATTTCCCATTTACTTCAGTGGGAGCAGGAGCAGGCCAGTGATTCTTTGAAGGCTCCTCTTCCATTCAGTCCCTCTCCTTATCACTCCTCTTGCAGTTTGTTCTGATAGCAGCACTATTATGTTCCTTAAACCCTTTTGCAACTTCTGTCTTTCTTCCTCCATTTCAATAGTTCTTTCACCTTGTTGCTTACCTTGATAGGCATCTCCCTCCCTCCTGCTCTTGAGCTGAGAAAACATCTGTGTTGTTGTTTCCACAAGGCCCAGGGTAACACTTGTCAGACCTGCATTTTTCTTTTTAAAACAAAATCTTCAGATTCTGAGGTCAGAGCTCAGCTCTCTTTTGATCTGAATCTGTACCAGTGTAAGTGTGTAATCTGCCCTAAAATATGTTTGACTCGCTGAGTAGCTAGCAATGATCAATGTTGCTTATGAGTCAGGTGCTCTCTCTAGACAAATGAACTATTAAACTTTTGGGAATGTTAATATCAGGGGCCAAATTACACCATTTAATAGCAAGCTCAAGTAACAGGTTTCAGAGTAGCAGCCGTGTTAGTCTGTATTCGGAGTACAAGGAGTACTTGTGGCACCTTAGAGACTAACAAATTTATTTGAGCATAAGCTTTTGTGGGCAACAGCAAGTAAGCCACTGAGATGTTAGCCTTTAATACTGGCACTTAGCACCAGTAACAGAGAGAGGAACGTTTGTAGCATCAATAAAGTACAGTAGCCTTTGTTAATTTTCAGTCCTCTGGAAACTTGAAGGGGCGACTGCATGTCATTGCTAGGGTTGTGTGAAACACTTGCAACAAAATTCAAGAACATCAGAGTGAGGATTTTGCATTTTGCTCCAAGTTTCCTTAACATCCCACTTTTGTGACAAGCCTCTGAATTTTGGGCTTGGCACTAGAAATCTAATTCTCCACACAACCTGTTGCACAGGTTTCTTTTAGCGGGTCTGTTCTTTAGTCACCTGTTACTTGTTCACCCAGTGAATATCTGTTCTTTGCTTGTCTGTGCCCTTGTTAGATGTTGGTTTAAAAAGACCTTGTTCTGACTCCCTGTGTTACAGCAAGGTCTCAGTGCACAGCAAACAGTGTTACTGGGCAGCTCTGGTTGTCTCCATTCCTTGGCTTTGTACTTCGCTGTCTGGTATTTTCATATCTCTAGCCGAGTTAATTAAAAGGTGGGCTTGTTCGGAACAAGTTGTGTTGCATAATTGCCTGCAAATAACATACCACACGTCTGCAGGGAAGAATGCTGGGAATTTTCAGTTTCCTTTTTGGCTTGGAGTCTCATCCAGCCCTTTGAGTTTGTGGAAATGACAATGGTTATTCTGTGGGATGACTATCTGACTGCAGCCCTGGAGGGGGAGAGGGTTTGAAGTGCTAGGAAGCTGGAAGTTGTTCCTGGAGATATGTTTCTGGTGTAATAATGCCAGCCGATCTTAAACTGAACTTTGCACCCCTTGATAATCTGTACGTTATTCCCTGACAGCCAGAAACTTTTCTATGCTTAAACTCTGTACCGTTCACCTTTTTTTTAACATCTTAAAAAAAAAATGTTCAGTTTAAAACTACCAGGAGCCAGGACAGACAAGGCTGACATACTATGCCCAGGGGTAACCATCTCTTTTAAAGGGGAACTGTCAGCTAAGTGAACTCCTTTTGTGGACTGTTCAGAGCAAGGTGATTCAAGTGACAGGACAGAGCGACTAAGCTAATAACTCACCAATTCACTAGACTATTTTCAGGCCCCCTCGGCGTGGCCCAAATCCCTCCTTTTGGTGAAACCTGCCTTGCTGTTCTACAGAAGTGTCTTAAGCAGCTGGGCGCCTGCCTGACTCTGCTCAGGGCCCACCCCATGAGTTGCAGGGTTCTCTCCCTCCCTGGCTGCATGCCCAGGGGTCTATTGGGTACCATAGCAACCCACGCTGCACCAGGGAGACCATGAGTGACTCACAGCTAGAGGCCCTGTTGCTGCTGAGGAGATCACAAGGCTGGCTGGTCTGGCCAGGTGTTGGATGTTGGCTATTACATTCAAGTAGGGCCATAGCTGAAAGGGTTTTACTTGTAAATTCCCTCTTCCACCCCCGTTTTTGTTTTGGGTTTTGGTTTTCTGGTCCCTATTAGAATTATACATGTACAGAAGGGGAAGGGAACACTGTGACGGGTTGGATCACAGAAACCCCCTTGGGAGCTGCCACCCAATGTATCAAGACTACTTCTATTTTTTTTTAATTAAATTAAATAGGATATCTCCATTAATTTAATATCTCCTAGAACTGGAAGGGACCTTGAAAGGTCATCGAGTCCAGCCCCCTGCCTTCACTAGCAGGAGCAAGTACTGATTTTGCCCAGATCCCTAAGTGGCCCCCTCAAGGATTGAACTCACAACCCTGGTTTAGCAAGCCAATGCTCAAACCACTGAGCTATCCCTCCTCCCCCACAGCTATTCCTGTTTTCCCTGCCAGCTCAGGACTCCAGCACCCTGTCTTGCTGAGCCAGACACTCCCGTCTGCTCCAACACAGATCCAGGGTCTGAATTACTTGCCCCAAAGCTGCAAGTTTACCTGAAAACAGCTCACAGAAGTGTGCTTGTCTTTAGCACTCAGATGCCCAACTCCCAATGGGGTCTAAACCCAAATAAATCCGTTTTACCCTGTATAAAGCTTATTGTTCGCCCTCTATAACACTGATAGAGAGAGATGCTCAGTTGTTTGCTCCCCCAGGTATTAATAAATACTCTGAGTTAATTAATAGATAAAAAGTGATTTTATTTAATACAGAAAGTAGGATTTAAGTGGTTCCAAATAGTAACAGACAGAACAAAGTAAGTCACCAAGCAAAATAAAATAAAATGTGCAAATCTATGTCTAATTAAACTGAATACAGATAATCTCACCCTCAGAGATGCTTCAGTAAGTTTTTTTTTTTTTTCTCAGATTGGACACTTTCCAGGCCTGGGCACAATTCTTTCCCCTGGTACAGCTCTTATTCCAGCTCAGGTGATAGCTAGGGGATTCTTCATGATGGCTCCTCCTCTCCTTGTTCTCCTCCACTCCTTTATATATCTTTTGCATAAGGCGGGAACCCTTTGTCCCTCTGGGTTTTTTCCCCCTCTTCCCCCCACTGGAAAAGCACCAGGTTAAAGATGGATTCCAGGTCAGGTGACATGATCACATGTCACTGCAAGACTTCATTACCCACTTGCCAGCACACACACACACAGGAAGACTCGCAGGTAAACACAGCCATCTGTAGACAATGGTCCTGGTTAATGGGAGTCATCAAGATTCCAAACCACCATTAATGGCCCACACTTTGCATAATTACAATAGGCCCTCAGAGTTATATTTCATATTTCTAGTTTTAGATACAAGAGTGGTACATTTATACAAATAGGATGATCACACTCAGTAGATTATAAGCTTTGTAATGATGCCTTACAAGAGACCTTTTACATGAAGCATATCCCAGTTACATTATATTCACTTATTATCATGGTTTTTATAAAACTATATAGACTGCACAACATCACAAACACATTTTGTTTATTTTAAAAAAACCTCAGGTGTGGACCCCAAGCAATCCCCTCCTCCAGTGCTGTAGAATTTCCAGTTGGAAATGTGCTTCATATACCCTCAGTTTGGGGGTGGTCACAACACAACAGCATAACTCTGGGTAGCCTGCAATAATGGCATTTGTGGGGGGTTGTTTATTCATCCTGGCTGGAGAGATCCCCATTAAAAATGATTGATGTGGGTTTAAAGAGAACATGTGTGGAGAGAATGTGCATCTTTAAAGGGATACAAGCCCTCTTTGGGGAGAGGATGGTGGTGAGGTTGCTAAACCACTTAGGTGCCACATCCACTTCTTGATTGTTCTTTGCCTCTCCTTTTATCTGGCAAGAATATCCTCCCTCCCTGATGTCTGGGCTTTTTATGAACAAAAAAGAGTCTGCTGCTTGGAATGTGCCAGCTGCTCTAGGATTGTGTTAATTTCTCCTGTTTGTGTCTTCTGGCAGGGGCAGTACTGTGACATTTGCACATCGATGAACAGCAACAAGGCTCACCCCATAACCAACGCCATCGACGGAACAGAGCGCTGGTGGCAGAGTCCTCCCCTCTCTCGCGGGCTGGAGTTCAACCAGGTCAATGTGACCTTGGACCTTGGACAGGTAATGGAAAAGGCTTGTGGTGTTTTAGATTGAAAGCTGCTCTTGTCGGGTACCTGTCCTCTTGGGTGTCTTTAAAGAGCTTCAGTTATCCCCATGGTAGAGGTGAGACACAACGCTGCTGTGATGACTGGACAGGGAATTCTCCACTAAGGTCCCAGGGTGCAGACAAGACCTTCTAGTTCTCTCCAGCTCTAAAACAAAACTTAATGCAATCTGTGCTGCATAGTGTTACCTACCACACAATCTCCCTAAGCATTGGCCACAGCGGTCACACGAGTCACAAAAACCTTTAGCGCTGACTAAATAGTAGTAGTGCCCCTGAAGAGTCTTTGGCTAACTTGGCTACCATGTCATATGTAAACTTCACTCCTGAATTCCTTGTTGCTGTAGCCAAAACATGAGCCATGGCTGGCCCAGAAGTGTTAAGATGTGTGTGGCAAAACATTAACTAGAGCATTTAAACCATGGAGTTTTAAAACATGAAATCAACTTTAAAGGCCTTGTGACAAAACTGACAATAGAGCTTTGGTCTTCAATACTGTCCAGTGAAAAGAATTAGCACTGTAGAAATGCTAGCTACCAGCCCTCATGGCCGCTCACCTCTGTAGCGCCTGTTCATTTGGAGAACAATTCTTCTGGAAACGTTGGGTTATTTTTTTCAAACTTTCCTCAACGGAGGGGAGGGGACTCCAGGAGTAAACTGTTTCTAAAAACAACACTGGCCACGTTGTAAACAAGAAATCACAAACTCTGCTTAGTGACCCTGGGCTTTTCTGTAGGCCTTTGCTTCTGTATATAGACAGCAGCGTGGCCTATATCCAGAGAACCCTGTCAGTCCACAGACGCTTCCAAACAGGAGAGTGTGGTGCAGTGTCTCAGAGTGTAGGGGCATTAGGGAAGACTCCTGCTTTCCAGATGCCTCATTGCCTGGTGTGCTGTAGAGTTTCTTTTACCTCCGCATGCTATTGATGCAGTAGAAGGGCTTTGCTTGTCTCAGGTCTTCTGAAAGGGACTGTTTGAGGGCTTCATAGGGGCCTGTTGCTTAGGCAGAAGGGAAGCATTTTTAAGCAATTGCCTCATTTTGCAACTCACCTTGTTCAATATTTAAATATCCCCAGTACATTAGGGGAGCGGCAGGGCATCGGTGAATGGGGCCTGGAGAGGGGTTATAGCACGTTCTGCTGAATGGTCTGACATGAAGCTTTTCATTTCAAGAGAGCGCCTGCTGTCTGCCGGGAGGAGATCTGGCTAGTAGCCCTGGCTTCCCAGGTTCTTGAATAGAGCAGGCGAAGGAGGCAGTCTGTGTGCTGTAAGCAGTTTACTCCTCAGAATTCAGTGAGCCGGGCATTCGCTCCAGAACTTGTTTGTAATGAAGTAGCACTTCTAACTGCTGCTGCGCCCATTGTGCTGGCACCCATCGCCAGCATTGGGATTTCTCTGGCCCTTGCTGAGTGGGGGGGGGGGAGGGGTTGAGGTTTCCAAGCAGGTTGAGGGTTGGCTTGAGCAATGGGCCTTCTGCTACCAAAAGGTGGAGAGAAAGTTGGAATCAAGTTTTTGAAGCTTGTGTAACAGGTGAGCTGCACAATGTAAGCCCCTCACCTTATTTGTAGGCACGTTGCTTTTTTGCTTGTGCAGATATGGGGCTCGGTGAATGAGGCCTTTGCATGGTTCCCCTATTGTGTGGCTTTGATAGCATAACCATTATGAAGGCAGTGGAGGAGTTGCATTGAGTGAGCAGAATTTCAGGTGCATGGATGGACTGTCAAGTTATTTGTAGTCCGCTTGGTTTGGAGTTAAATAAACTTGGGGGGGCCCTGAGCATGCCCTAAAGATCTGTGCCTGAAGGGGGTACTCTGCACTGAGATCTTCCCTATAGCCAGGCAACCGAACCCTTGCCATGTAGGAGGAATCTAGGCCTAGTTTGTACCTCCTGATTTTCAGTAATTTTCAAATATGTTAATTTCTGCTCATCCATTTGAGCTAAGTCTCCAGGATCCCCTCTAAACATGTCCCTGCCACGTAACAGTGCTAGCATAGCTTTCCTGCATGCTGTGGACAAAGATCTTTTTTCCGGAGACCCTTGATAGCTACACTGTGCAATCCACGTTGCCCCCCCCCCCAAACATCCCCATAATGCCTTGATCAGAATCTCTAAAGCAGATTTAGAATATGGCTCTTGGGAGGGTGAGAGTCCTCAGCCACACTGGCCAAGGAGGTTGTACTAATGCCGTTTCAGAGGGACCCAGTGGATGCCAGCTACTTTGGAAACGCTCCAAATGCAGGGGTTTTGTGAGGTGAGGAGAATACTAGAGCTTTGTCTCCTGATGGGAGGATGTGGGTGGAACTTTGCTTGCTCCAACTGCTGTCTGTACCTGTGGGCGGGAGGGAAAGGAGAGAGGGTTTCAAAGCCCATCAAGTCAGGGCAGGCATTCCTCTTCTCCCCTCCCCCCCTTCTCCAAGCAGCACCTTTGGCCCTAAACAGCGATGCAGTCTGCAGAGACTGCTCGTGAGCTACTGAAGCTTTGATGGCTCAAATCTGCATCTACCTCCTTCAGTTCCTTCCTAGACTGTAACATTGGGAGTGCGGGAGTGAAGATCCAGGGGGAAAGTTGGGATATTGGGGGGGAGGGGAAGAATTCTGCCATGGTGAAATTTTTGGTCTTTGGGTTTTCTCTTTCTCACCCTGCACTCTCATGTTACCTTGTTCATTTCCCACTCCCTCATTCTTTTGCTAGTGGGAAATGGGATTTCATCACCGTGCATGCTAGGTCATGAGCAAAATCCAATGTGACCACTGATGGTGACTGGTGGATTATGTGGAAAGGATCCCTCTAAAATGACTGGTTTCAAAGTAGCAGCTGTGTTAGTCTCTAAGGTGCCACAAGTACTCTGTTCTTTTTCTAAAATGGCTGTTACTCCTCACCATGTTCAAAGTTTGCATTCACTGGTCCTCCACAAATACCCAATGCAGGCCACTGCAAGAGCACATGGTCTGTTCTCAAACTAGCAACCCATTTCTGGCAGTTTCATCATAACAGTAATCCTATATTAAATGGACCTTCCTTTCACGTATACTCTGGATTTGCCCCGGTTCTCATCCCCCACTTGTCGGGGTTAGGTGATGGCGAGTGTTTGTGGGATTCTGTAACCCTTCACCTGGTTTCCTTCTGTTGACCTGAGGCTGTGGCTGAGAGAGCGGAAGGTAAAGAAAGGCTTGCCTGAGGTCCTATTGTACCTGCAGGGCATGTGCCAGAAGAGCCTAATGTAATTGGAAGAGAAGTGTTGGAAATTCCTCGGATGCCTGTGGGACTGTGCAGGTAATAGCCTGAAAGGCAGGCCGAGCAATTTACAGGCTGGAAAATAAGGCCTTTTATGCCTCCCAATGCCTTGTGGGGAGCCCTTTTTTGTCTAGTTTAAATTGAATTGAGTGGATTGGCCAACGTCTGCCTCAGAAAATGTCTTACGCATTTTAGATAGTAACCAGCACTGGTTCCTTTTGAGCTATGATGTTGGGGTACAGGGTGGATGTGTTTAGACACATCGAAGGTTCTGGGGTCACGGACACTTGATTTGCTGCAGAGACACTGGAGTGTCCTAGGGTGGTTAGGGTCAGGAAAGGGTTTCTTTGCAACACTGTCCTTTTGCCATAGCAATTCTTTGCTGCCAGCGTCTCTTCTGAGGCTTGGCCTTCACTTAAATGTTAGGTCAACATAGCTATCTCAGTCAGGAGTGTAGGGGGGAAAAAAAAATGCCTGGCTGACACAGCTATGCCAACCTATCACCCAGTGTAGATACAGCTGTGTTGAAGGAAGAGGGCTTCCCTTGACAGAGCTACTGTCGTTCAGGGAGGAGTTGTTCCTACGCTGATGGGAAATACCCCTTCCATTGCTGTAGATGGTGTCTGCGCTGTGGGGTTATGCCAGCATAGCCACTGCATAGACATGCCCTGAGTCATGCCTGCTTAATTACTAACGAGAACCAAGTTCTTTCAGCACTTGACAGCATCATGGGGATAGGGGAGACTGTGATTAATTTCAACAGAGGGTCCTGTGGCACCTTTGAGACTAACAGAAGTACTGGGAGCATAAGCTTTCGTGGGTAAGAACC